CAGCTGAGGTTGTCATTCATGTGTACACCCAAGTACTTGTAGCTGGAGACCACTTCCACCGCAGATCCTCTTATGTTCAGGGGGGTGTAGATGTTTTTGTTCCTTCTGAAGTCCACAATCATCTCCTTTGTCTTCTTCACATTGATGTGAAGGTTATTCTCTCTGCACCAGCTCTCCAGGTGTTCCACCTCTTGCCTGTAGCTGGACTCATCATTGTTTGTGATGCATTCCACCACCGCTGTATCATCTGCAAACTTTACAATGTGACAGCCTGGATGGGTAGCTGCACAATCATACGTGAGCAGAGTAAACAGGAGGGGGCTCAACACACATCCCTGAGGAGAGCCAGTGCTGAGGGTTATGGTGGAGGAGGAGAGGTTGTGGATCCTCACTAACTGTGGTCTGTTTGTTAAAAAGTCTAGTACCCAGTTGCAAATGGAGGGGCTTAGTCCTAGTGTGGATAGTTTATCCATCAGGGTTTGGGGGATCATGGTGTTGAAGGCAGATGTGAAGTCCACTAAGAGCATATGGACGTAAGAGTTTTTCTGCTCCAGGTGGTTGAGCGCAGTGTCGACCACAGAGGAGATTGCATCCTCTGTTGATCGGTTCTCACGGTATGCATACTGATGAGGGTCCTCGTTGATGTTGGTGGTTATTTTGATGTGAGTCATGACCAGTTTTTCAAAGCATTTAGCGACTATCGGGGTGAGGGCCACTGGCCGATAGTCATTCAGACCAGTCACTGTAGAGCTTTTTGCGACTGGGATGATGGTGGCAGTCTTCAGGCAGGTGGGAACTGTCTCCAGGGTAAGTGAGGTGTTAAAGATGTCTGCCAGCACCTCACAGAGCTGATCAGCACATTCCTTCAACACTTTTCCGGGGATGTTGTCTGGGCCAGTTGCTTTGTGCGGATTAATCCTCCTGAAGGTACTCCTTACTTCTGCTGAGGTCACGCTGAGATGCTCTTCGTCCGGTGGTGAGGTGAGTCTGGTGCTGGGTGGTCTGTTCGAGTCTTCAAAGCGTGAATAGAACTTGTTGAGGGCATCAGGCAGAGATGGGTCTTTGGGGCATTGTTCACTCCTTCCTTTATAATCTGTTATGCACTTAATGCCCCTCCACATGCTCCAAGGGTCTTGTGAGATGAATTGACCCTCAATCCTCTTTGCATATGTGGCCTTGGCCCTCTTAATACCAGCAACCAGCTCTTTTCTTGTCCTACTCAGATCACGAGCATCCAGTAGAGTTTTACGGCCTTGACCCTTACGCACAGCGATTGTTCCAGATTCTCTGAATCTTTTGATGATGTTATGCATGGCTGATGATGATAACTTAAAAGTCTTTGCTATTTTACGCTGGGTAACACCATTCTGGTATTGTTGCACTATCTTTCTGCACAACAATGGTGGAATTGGTGATCCTCTTACCATCTTGGCTTCTGAGAGACACTGACACTCTGAGAAGCTTTTTTTATACCCAATCATGTTGTCAATTGACCAAATTAGTGTTAATTGGTCTTCCAGCTGTTGGTTATATGCTCAGTTTCCTTTTTCCAGCCACTTATTGCTACTTGTCCCAACTTTTTTGGGATTTGTTGACACTGTGAAATTTTGAATCAACATATTTTTCCTTTAAAATGTTACATTTACTCAGATTAAACTTTTGATCTGTCATCTATGTTATATTACGAATAAAATATTGACATTTGCCATCTCCACATCATTGCATTCAGTTTTTATTCACAATTTGTTTAGTGTCCCAACTTTTTTGGAATCCGGTTTGTAAGTTTACTACTGGAGGCCAAATTAATGCCATCCAAAGAAAGTGAACAATTGATAAAAAAAAAAAAAATTCCTACGATGCTCAGGTCCAAAAACCACAACCTCTCTCATGTATTAGTTTAAAAGCAGAAAATTAAAGGTCATATAAGTTTTTATGTCTTTAAGACATGATTGTTATTTAAGTAACTGATTGGATTAATTGGGTTTTATGGACAAATATAACTGTGTATTATCAGCATAACAATGAAAATGTATTCCGTGCTGTTTAAAAACATTACCTAATAACAACATAAAGTAAAGAGTATTTGTCCAAGCACTGAACCCTGAGGAACTCCATGAGAAACTTTGGTGTATGAAGAAGATTCATTATTTACAATTACAAACTGAAATATATCAAATAAGTCTGATTTTAGAGCCATTCCTGTATTCCTGTAATCTCAATATCATATTCAAGCCTCTGTAGTAGAATACTGTGATCATCTGTATCAAATGCAACACTGAGGTCTAATAGGACCAGTGTAAATGCTAGTCCATTGTCTGAGGCCATGAGAATATCACTAGTTACTTTCACCAGTGACGGTGGTGAGACCATCTATGTTGTATGGTCTGGAGACAGCGGCACTGACAAAAAGAGGAGAAAGAACTGGAAGTAGCAGAAATTATGATGTTGAGGTTCTCCTTGGGAGTGAAAAGGATTCAAAACAGTTCAAGACAAGGTAAATGGACTGTACTTATATAGCGCCTTTCTATCTTATTTCAAGATACTCAAAGCACTTTACACTACAATCTGTGTCCTCATTTACCCATTCATACAGCACTCTACTAGATCTCTACAAAGCTAATTGAAGAATCATTCTAAAGAGACTAATCAGAGCTTTAGATTCAATTCAATTCAATTCAGTTCATTTATATAGCTCCAAATCACAACAAAGTTGTCTCAGGGCACTTTACAGGAGCATTCACATACATAAAAGCCAATTAGTAAAGTTCTCTATCTAAGGAATCCAGCAGACAAGTTGAATCTTGGCTTTGTTGCAGTCTCCCATCCTGAGCAAGCACAGTGGCAACAGTGGAAAGAAAAACTCCCTTTTAAAAGGACGAAACCTCCAGCAGAACCAGGATCAGGACAAGCGGCCATCTGCTTTGACCGGCTGGTTGAGAGGACAGGGAGGAGAGACAGACGAACACAGAATGGTAGGTCCAGGTATAGGTCCAGGTCCAGGTGTAGGTCCAGGTCCAGGTGTAGGTCCAGGTCCAGGTGTAGGTCCAGGTCCAGGTGTAGGTCCAGGTGTATCTGAAAGACAAAAAATCACATGTTAAGGATAGAAAAAAATAATTACAAATACAAAACAGGTTGAGCAGAGTAAGTAAAGACAGTAGCAGAGTGAAAATTGTGGTCAGTTTGTCCTCCAGCACTCTAAGCCTATAGCAGCATAACTAAGGGACAGCTCAGGAAACCCAAGCCGACCCTAACTATAGGATTTATCAAAAAGGAAAGTCTTAATCCTAGTTTTAAAACTGGATAATGTGTCAGCCTCACGGACAGAGATTGGAAGTTGTTTCCAATTCAATTCAATTCAATTCAATTCAGTTTATTTATATAGCGCCAAATCACAATAAAGTTGTCTCAGGGCACTTTACAGAAACGTTCACATACATAAAAGCCAAATAGTAGTTCTCTATCTAAGGAATCCAGTAGACAAGTTAAATCTTGGCTTCGTTGCAGTCTCCCATCCTGAGCAAGCACAGTGGCAACAGTGGAAAGAAAAACTCCCTTTTAAAAGGAAGAAACCTCCAGCAGAACCAGGCTCAGGACAAGTGGCCATCTGCTTTGACCGGCTGGTTGAAAGGACAGGGAGGAGAGACAGACAAACACAGAATGGTAGGTCCAGGCGTATTTGAGTGTTCCACAAGAGAGGAGCCTGATAACTGAAAGATCTGCCTCCCATTCTGTTTTTGTAAATTCTAGGAACCACAAGTAAACCTGCAGTCTGAGAGCGAAGTGCTCTGTTAGGAAAATATGGAACAATAAGATCTGTAATATAAGATGGAGCTAGGTTATTGAGAGCTTTGTAGGTTCGAAGTAGGATTTTGAATTATATTCTGGATTTGACAGGGAGCCAATGGATCACATTCATACACTGATGGGACACACATCAGAGGCGATGATATATATACTGTATATGTGTGGGTGTGTATTTACAAAGTATATATGTAAATAAGAAAAGATTACTTAATAGGTAAAGATCTTGATTTGATTCAAGGTTTCAAGACACAAACTTTGAATTTGGGACTGAACAAAAGTGTCCATGGGCGATAGAAGATGCAAAGCCTTTTATGTTAAAAAAAAAGTAAATCTAGTACCAATTTTAAAGTGGAAGCCAGATGAGCTACAACTTGTATCTTTGCTTTGTAAGACTTGATGACATTAGGGAAACTTTGAGATATTTGTAACAAAAGCTAGACAACAGTGGAATAGCTGTTCTACCTTCCACCTGAGTGAACATGCATGAAGTCGAAGTTCAGAGGGAATGTGTTTATGATGTGTTTTAATCAACACTATATGTTTGTCCATCACTTGTCACTGCTATTCGAAGAGTTGTTAGAACCTCAAGGCTCTATGGGTTATACAGTGTTTAGATAAATGTCAAGACTTTGAACAAACTGAGTCTGGCCAAGGAGGGCTGCTCTGTTAGAAACCTCTTGTGAAGCTAATGGAATTCAATTAAATTCAATGCAGTTGAATTTATTTAGTGCCAAGTAAAAACAGATAATTAAATTATTACATTTTATTAAATGTTCCTCTCCCTTATAATATTTTCAAAAAATATGTCTAAACAAGTTTTCTCTTTGTGGTTATCTACTTTTATTAAAATAAACGCAAATTTGCTGTGCACCATCTTCTTCTCAGTCTTCTCTTTGGTATTGAATCTGGTCATTGTTGTTCAAGCTTTTAAATCTTGAAGCTGGGTGTTCACACAGACTGTATGTCACAACATTACTGAGCTGCAAAGTTGTCATTTTTTAGTACCATGCATCACAAAACAGTATTTGCTGAATGTTTATTGCTATATTTCTAAATAAGTGCTGAATTTCTTTAATGCTCATTGATATGGACTTGATCATTAGAAATGTTAAATCATGCTCCTCATAATGGCTCATTGTAAACAACAAAAAATGTTTATTACAGTTTTTGTCTCTTTCACAGCAATGAGTTCACATCCAGCTCTGGCATTCCTTCTGCTGTGGTCAGCATCCCTGCTGTACAGTGGTGACAGTGGGAAAGTACTGGTCTTCCCAGTAGATGGGAGTCACTGGCTCAACATGAAAATCCTTCTGGAGGCACTGTATTCTCATGGCCATCAAATTACAGTGCTTCGCACTTCCACCAGTTGGTATGTTTCTGAATTTTCCCCCTATTACACTTCCATCACAATCACCAAGGAAGAGCCCCAACACTTGGAGAACCAAGCTGTCATGACCTCTCTTTTGGAGCGATCTATGAGGATTCGACGCAGCCAAGGCTCACTATGGGCATTTTTTGAGTTTTACAGAAATGGTGCTGACTTTTTCAGAGAAGGGCATAACCGTATGGCAAAGCTAATCATCTGTATCCTTGAAAATAGGACACTCCTTAGTCATCTGAATGAAACTGGTTACGATTTTTTTCTAACAGACCCTGCTTTTCCAGGTGGGGTGATTGTGGCACATTATCTCAAGCTTCCATTGGTTCTCAATGCACGCTGGATTTTAAGTGGGGAAGCACATTTTGCTATTGCTCCTTCTCCATTGTCTTACATCCCTGTTATGTTGTCCCGTTTTTCTGACAAAATGAACTTGTTTCAAAGAATGAAAAATATTATTTATCATGGCGTGTTGCTTACCTTGCACCATCTTGTCTTTAATCCACCATATCAAGCTGTGTGTGATCAGTATTTTGGAAGTAATGCAAGTATCATGTCTCTAATGCAAGCAGCTGATCTTTGGTTAATGCGGGTCGATTTTACATTTGAGCTCCCTCGTCCCACCATGCCTAATGTTATCTACATTGGGGGGTTCCAGGGTAAGCCTTCGAAGCCTCTGCCACCAGATTTAGAAGAATTTGTTCAAAGTTCTGGTGAACATGGTGTTATTGTCATGACTTTGGGGACATTGCTGAGCAACCTTGGTTCTGAAGTATCAGAGACCATTGCTTCAGCGTTTGCAAAACTCCCACAGAAAGTTGTGTGGAGACATATTGGAAGAAGACCAGACACTCTGGGGAACAACACCATGCTGGTTGAATGGCTACCTCAAAATGACCTCATTGGCCACCCTAAAACCAAAGCCTTTGTAACACATGGAGGCACCAATGGCATCTATGAAGCCATCTACCATGCTGTTCCTGTTCTGGGTATCCCACTGATCTTTGACCAGTATGACAACATGATACGCTTAAAAGCCCGAGGTGTAGGTGAGATAATTGAAGTGGCAACAATGAATGTTGAATCTCTGACAAGAGATCTAAAGAATATTTTGGACCCAGAAAAGCCCTACAAGCAAAATATGATCAAACTGTCCCAGCTTCATCATGATAAACCCATAAGACCCGTAGATAATGCTGTGTTTTGGATGGAGTACGTCATGAGGCACAAGGGCACTGCACACCTGCGCACTGAGTCATACAGGCTGCCATGGTACTCCTACTATTGTCTAGATGTGATAGCATTCTTTGTAGCAATTGCTTTGATTATTATCATGTTGATCGTGGTTTTCTGTAGATGTTCAGTGAGATATTTGCTGAAAAGCAAGATGTTCAAGCTTGACTAGATAAGACAATGATTAAAAAAGCATGTCTCTGTAATATTTAGATAAACCACAGCAAAAATTTCTAAAGAGTATGATGCTTAGCTACATTCAGAAATATGTAGTAGTTATAAATGGATAAAAAAAAGAATATCTTTATCATACATTTAACAATAAATAACAATAAGCAATTTCATAAATTTTTTTAAACATAACAGAAAATTTTACAAACCGCAAATGTCTGTGCCTCTTCATTTCATTTTACATTAGTCTTTTTGTGTCATTTGTGTTGCCTGGTAAATTGTATGTTACACTGCATGTAAGGTTCATATACAAATGATTGATGAGAAAGACATTTAAATAAAAATGTTTATAGAATTACTTTGAATTCTGTTTCTCTGCAGCATATATCTTTGAGAGACACGGGCCACTCAGAGTTCTTTAATTTATTCTTGCTTTCACATTCATCATCAAACCCTCTTACATTTACTATTAAACTCAAACCCTCTTGCAAACTAGACTCGTCTTTCTAGCAACTGTTCTGTGTCAGACATTACTTTTTATGACAAAGTATTTTGTACTGTTTGGGTAAGTTGCTCTCTGAGACTAAATAGTAAAACTTTTTTCCTAAGACTCCTTAAAACATGATTTAGGTTAGGCAGAGAAGACATCTGTTTGTTTATAATATCTTTTGAATTCTAAAAATGAAAGTTGATCATTTTATGTGTGCATTTACAAAATAAAGAATATTCTAATGGTTTACCAAATTTTATTTATTTGTCATTACAGGAGACAGTTTAGTGCTATTGTCAAATGAACCTTTTGAACAGGAAGGCTTTCCTCAACGTGCAGACCTCACTGTTGCTCACCTCAGAATCTGCGTGTCCGACTATATTCTGATGTCTTGTTTTGATAACAAATGTGAAGAGGGGGAATTGTAAATACACTCCATCTGACAGTCTGTGCATGTTGTGAGCATGATAACTTAAAAAAATAAGGGAGTTATCCACTTCCATTTTGGATGTGGCTACATCTAAGCGTAAGAAAGTTTCCATTCAAAATTTGGATTGCCACATCAAAATCCAAGATGGCTGCTGCCACAAACGTGTATATGTAAACATTGTGAGTTGGATAACTGAAAAAATAAGTAACACGCTAACGTTTATTTTCATGCGTAGCTGAATGTAGTGTAAAAAAGTTGTTTTCAAAAACTGTGTTGCCATGTCAAAATTCAAGGTGCCTCTGCTGTATATATGTAATCCACCCCATGTTTGATGAAAATCATTCTAATTTTTATATTGCTAAAAAGTATAGTTTCCCCAAATGACAGGGGTGGCCATAGATTAATCTATGATGGCCAATGCCACCATTAGCCACCCCCTGGCTTTACTATTGCTCCTGGTGGTGAAAAAAATTGCTTCCTCGAATCACCAGGATGTCACTTTGTGCTGCATTGGACAAGCAAAAAAAAAAAAAAAAAAAAGACCTCTGTTTCACAGTGTAACTCATTCCCATTAGAATATCTTGAAACAAAAACCACTCATCTTGGAAACTGTAAAGCAATCAGTATTTGATGGGGGACCTGTGCACACCACTTGTCTAGTTTGAATCACTGATTCCTGTATAGAGTGTGTTACAGTAGTCTAGCCAAATGGTCACAAAAGTGTGAACTACTGTTTCAAAATGCTGCTGAGAAAGAATCGGCTTCACCTTAGCCAGCTGCCTCAAATGGAAAAAACTAGTTTTAACAACAGCTCTGATGTGGTTTTCTAATTTTAGTCCAGAATCGACTTTGACCCCCAAGTTTGTAATGGTTGGCCTGATGTACTGGGCCAAGGAGCCATCATCTACATTGGGAGTCTCAGTGGAGCTTCCAAAGACCATCACCTCAGTCTTTCCCTCATTGAACTTTAAGAAGTTCACAGCCATCCAGGCTTTGATGTCCTTCAGACATGAAAACAGAGGGGGCAGAGAGTTAGAGTCCTTCTTCTTTAGCGGGACATATTTCTGTGTATCATCCACGTAACAATGAAAGGCGATCCCATATTTTCTAAAAATAGAGCCAAGAGGGAGCAGGTACAGTGTGAAGATGAGGGGGCCTAAGACTGAGCCCTGTGGAACCCCACACAAGAGAGGAGCAGAGGAGGACACATGGTCACCAAGGCAGACACAGAAAGTATGCTCTGCTAAGTAGGACCTAAACCAGTCCAGTGCTACACCACTGACACCCCCGTTGCTTCAAACGACAAGATGTTATAGTCCACTGTGTCAAAAGCAGCCGATAAGTCTAAAAGCAGGAGGACAACGCAGTCACCAGAGTCCGGTGCTAAAAATATGTAACTGAAAACCTTTAAAAGAGCAGATTCTGTACTGTGTAGCGCTTTAAAACCAGACTGTAAAACCTCGAGAATGTTCTGTTCTTTCAAATATGCTGATAGCTGGCCGTACACCACCTTCTCAAGAATTTTTGAAAGAAATGGCAGTTTGGAGATTGGCCTGTAGTTAGCAAGAGCAGAGAGGTCAAGAGTGGGTTTCTTAATGAGAGGCTGGACCGCTGCATGTTTAAAATTTCCAGGGACCACACCAGAGGACAGACTGTTGTTTTTTGTGTTGAAACGTTTCAGCACAAAAATAAAAATAAAGAAACTATCCAGATGACCTGAAAATTGTTGGATTGTATACTTGGATTATTGAGCATGGACTATTTTGAACAGAACCAGTTACTTTAAATATAACTTAAGGATTGTGACTGTTTGATACAATCACATTAGACAAGTATTTTCTTTTGACATCTTTCAGTTTTTTGATAGTGACGTCAGCAGTCCTTTAATATTTGAAACAACACCTGTAATTTGTTCGCTTTCCACCTGCGCTCGGCTCTGCGACACTCTCTCCTGGCCGCACTAGTGTTGTCATCCAACCACAATTTGCACGTGATTTTAAGATGTCTGATTTTTAACGGAGACACAGAATCCAGAACCGTTGTGCAGGTGGAGTGCAACCATGAGCTGAGATCCTCGGTGTTGTTGCACACAGTCTCTGGGACGGCACAGTTCTGATTAAAAGCAGATGAAAAGGGACCAGCAGTGGAAGAGTTCAAAACACAACGCAGCCGAGCTGCAGCACGGGGCTTAACTTTAGTGCAGGATAAGTTAGTTTCAAATTAAACAGGCATGTGGTCAGAAAATACAGCATCACTTTTTATTGCCACAGCTTTCAATCCTGTGCGGCATCTCTTCTGGTGATGAAAAGAGCTTTTTCAGTCTGGTAATGAACTTCATGCTGATAAACAAAATGTCTGATCTGATGCTTCCTTGAAGTGATCTGACCATCTGGGATGATGAACTTTTGTTTTTAACCTGACTCCAAAGTGACAATACTGATTAAAAATAGCCTAAGCAGTCCAAGTTCTTATACATTTCATCTCTAAAATTAGAATTGAATTTAAAACATCCTGTTCAATTCAATTCAGTTCAGTTTATTTATAAAGCTCCAAATCACAACAAAGTTGTCTCAGGGACTTTACAGGAACGTTCACATAAAAGACAGTTAGTAAAGTTCTCTATCTAAGGATCTAAGGTTCAAAAGATTTTTGTATTAAATACATTTAAAACAAAAGTATTTCAGATTAGAAAGGGTAATCCTTATTTTATCAGTGTTAAATGAATATAATGGTTTAAGTACAGTTAATTAAATCTAGAATAATCACTTGATACTAAAACTCTGAGTATGTTCCCAAATACTTAGTGTTAGTTTTATTTTTGTTCTATTGATTTTATTGTTTGTTCATTTTATTTGAACAATTTGCAGTTTTCCAATATCCTAAAAGACAGTTTTAATCTGTGTTTTGTGCCAGGCACATTTGGCCTTATTGTAATGTCCTTTTGGACAGGTTTAGTTAGTTAATCAGTCTTTAATTGTGTTGGGCTGTGGCCTTTTCTACCCGCCCATAAATAGGCTGGTTCAGGGAGCCCTCTCTCTGAAAAAACAAAATTCGGAACGTGGAGGAAGCTGTTGGGCGCGGAATTTAAAACATTTTTGGACGGATTATCGATATTTGACAATTTTTTGGACTTTGGAACAGGTGGAAATTGACATAAACTGGTATGTGAATGGTTCAGATGGAAAAACAGGTAGGAGACGAGGCAGACATGGATTTTGAGGGGTGGACACCGGGAGGTAGAGGGAGAGGACGCAGAAGAAATAAAATGGAGGAAGAGACGAAGGACAGCCAGAGTAATAAAAGGGAGTTGGAAGGGAGCAGCTCTGATGAAGAAAGGGTAGTAAGAAGAAAAGTAGTGAGGGATGAATTTAAAATAATATTAAAACTAAAAAATGAGGAAGGGCAGGGTAACATAAGCCCCATTTTGATATAAAAAAAAATAAAAAGGAAGATTGGGGATGTAGAAATGGTGAAGGTGTTAAGAGATGGAAATTTATTAGTATCATGTAAAACTGAAGAACAACTAAATTTTGCACGTCGAGAACATCTGTAAAAGAATGGTCATGGAAAGAAAGATAATAGGAGAAAACAAAACGGTTTGTGGAGTTATTTACGGGATCCCAGTGGATGAAGATTTAGATCAAATAAAAAGGAACATTGTTGGTGCACAAGTAAACAACTTGAAGAGACTGTCAAGAACTGTTAATGGGGAAAGAGTAGGAAGTTTATCAATTATGATTGAGTTTGATGAGAAAACCTTACCAGCAAACATAAAAATAGGTTATTTGAATTTTCAAGTTAGGCCTTACATCCCACCACCACTCCGCTGCTACAAGTGCCAGAGATATGGACACATGGCAGCAGCGTGCAAAGGTAAACAGAGGTGTCCAAAGTGTGGAGAAGATCACAGAATAGAAGAATGTAAAGAAGAAAAGGAGAAGTGTTGCAACTGTGGAGGACAACATAGAGTTACATATGGAGGGTGTGAAGTGAGGAAAACGGCAAAAGAAATCCAACAGGTGAAAATAAGTAAAAACACCACATATGCAGAGGCAGTCAAAAGTGTCAAAGAACAAAAGACAAGAGCGACAGGACAAACAGAGAACCAGAACCCACAACAAAGTAC